CATTTCAATTATTTTAGCTTGAAATTTGCGCTTAAATAATATAAAATTTAACATTAAAAAAAAATCTGAATTTATAATTTTTATTTGTTTCTAAGCAAACTACAAATGATAAGTAAAACGAATGCAAAAGCAATATATTTAATAATTTATGGATTTTTGAATGTATTTGAAAGTAAATTAATTTTAATTTTTCTTTAACAACTTATCAGTGGATAAAGTAAAGAAATAAATCGAATAAATCAAGTCAAAATCAACCATAATCGAACTAAGAATATGATCGAATAAATTGTCGTCGTTTGTCCAATTTTTATTTCAAACCCTCTGGCATCCATTTTATATGCCTTTAGGCGTAAAATCTATAAGGAGATGTGCATATTGCTGATGGCGTAGTTGTTCTTTAGGTCTCTGGTATGCCGATTTAGCAGTTTTTAATCTTTGTTCATTTTGAAGGGAATAGTTCTAATGGGATTTGTATGACAATTAAAAATAATAATATTAATATATTGCAAAATTATTATATAGTATTTGCTTATTTCATAAATAATATTTTGAAAGTTAATAATTTCGATTAATAAAGGAAATATTTTAGCGAATTTCAATCAAAATATTAAGTAAAAAAATTTTATTAATTCTATAATTGTGATAAAAAATAAATATTCGCTTAATTTAAATTATAACAGTAATGATAAACAAACAAAATTTTTAAGAAAAAAATTTTCAAATTTACAAAAAAAATTTTCACGAATGAAATCAAATTATTCGTACTTGTTTTATATTTTAAATTAAGACAAATTAGTTTTATCTGAAAAATTCTTCAATTTTTTTTTTTTTTAGAAAAATTTATATTTAATATATGCAAATTTTTTTTTTTACAAATATTGGCAAAAATTTTTTTAGCTGAAAAAGTATTCTAAAAAATTTAATTGCATTTTTTAAAAAATTATTATACTAACGCTAATTTCTATAATATTTAAATAATAATTATTTTTTTTTAAATTTATAGAAAAATTAGAATGAAATATTGTTTTCGGAAGTAAAAAATACGAATACTTTTATTAGAACTGTTCAAATTTTCTAAATTTCAGATTTAAAAATTACATAGATAATTAAATAATTTAATTTCAAATTTAACTAATTTTTACTAAAATTGAAGCAAAAAAATTGAAATATTTCTTTACAAAAAAATTTCACTCAAATTCTATATTTTTTCTATAATTTTTTATAGTAATTATATAGTAATTTTATAGTAATTTATTTACATATACATATATTTTATATGAAATAATTAAGTGGAAAATATCAATCGTTAGAATCATTGATTCAATCTTCTTCTAATCTATTTTAAACCATGGAAATTATTTAAACTGAAGAAGAAAATTTCTAAAAAGAAATTATAAAAAAAATAAAAAAAAATAAAATCTAATTTTTTAAAAACTTTACAATTAATATTTGTAAAATTACAATTTTTTAGTATTTTGTTTTGTTTCGTAATTTCATAACTAATCTAAAATATTTTAACAGTTTCGATTTAAGTAAAATAAAATATTTTCGTATTTTCGAGACTTATAATGATAAATAAATTTTTCTGAATTTTACGTGGTGATAAGAAAAACGATGCAAATGAAATATATTTAAGGATTTATGGATTTTTTATATAATATAATATAATATAATAGACAATATAATATAAAATTCGAATATAATATAATATATTTGAAATCAAATTAATTTTATTTTTTTAAATAACAATTTATTAAATAATTTAGCTTATCAGTGGATAAATTGTATTGTAATTAAATAATTTAATTTCAAATTTAACTAATTAAAAAATTGCCAATATCTATCAGTTAAACAATTTGGATTATCAGTGGATAAATTGAAAAAATCGCCAACATCTATCAGTTAAATAATTAGCTTATCAGTGGATATATTAAAAAACCGCCAACATCTATCAGTTAAATAATTTAGCTATTTGGTTTATCAATCGAGAAATATAACCGAATAAGCGCTACTATGTTCATCTTCTATTTCGAGCATTCTGGCTTTCATTTTATATGCTTATGAGGATTAAACCCCGTCGGAAAATTTAGGAATATTACTGATGATGTAATTTGTATTTATGCCTCTGGCAAGTCGATAAGGCTTGTCTCTAAAATTTCGATAGTATTTTCTAGTCTTCGCATTTATTTTCAAACAAAATGGAATAGTGCTAAAATGATATGTCTGATAACGAAAAATTAGGATGCCAAATATTAAATTGTATTTTCTTACAATATTTCTTCAAAAACGAATGATTTTCATAGATATTAACTTCAGTTGATAAGGAAATATTTACGCATTTTCGAAGCGAGTAAATATTTTTGCAAATCAGAATTGAGTAAATAGAATAGATTTTAGTAATTCCAGAATTATAATAAGAAATGAATATTCTTTAATTTTGTGGTGATAAACAAATATTTCAAAATTCTATATGAAGCAAAAATTTTTATAATTCTCTGAATATTCTATTTGTAAACGAAATGAAAAATTTTTATTTAAAAAGTTTTAACACAAATGAAATCAAATTAATTTTATTAATCTTGTTTCCGGCTTTCAGCTTATCAATTTATCAGTTTTAAGCATATCACTTTTCCTGAAAAATAATTCTTTCAATTTTCAAGACTATAATTCAAATTTAGTACAAATTTATTTATTTAAAAATAATGAAATTATTTAATATAATTATAATTTTATATAATTTAAATAAAATAAATGAAAAAAAAAATTTTTTAATATTTTAACACTGAGAAATGATTCTAGAAAATTTATTTATAATGTATTTTTAAAAAATTATTTTTAAAAAAATTATGAAAATTGTTAAAATAAATTAAAACTTCAGTAATTTCTATAACTTTAATACAATAAATACAATTATATTTCTTCCGTTTTTATAGAAAAATTTCTAGGAAAATTAAAATGAAACATTATTGTTATCGAGAGAATAAAAATACGAATATTTTTATCAGCAGCTAACAGTTGAAAATAATTTATCATTTTTGATTTAAGAATTATTTATATACTAGTTGGTTGGCCGCGTAATGCGTGCTTGTGGGCCGTACCGCATTTTTCCAGTTGCCGCGGTTTTCTATTATATCAAACTATTTTATTTTAATAAACAAATTTCGGTCGAACTGAATTTTTCACGGTGAAAAAAAAGGATTCGAGGGGGAGGTCGACGTCATTTAATTCATCGTTTTTTACAGAATTTCTAGGAGATAAGTGAATTTTTAAGGAAACCTGGATGGTACTCTAAAGTTCGTTTAAAGGACCGTCTAAGAAAGACCGTCGTCCTAGTAGATTTTTTCTGAAATATACTCACACATCTAACGTAAATTATTTTATTTTAAATTAAGGAGGAGGTTTTTTTCTTTTTTTTCCGGTGTATTAATTATTCTAATTTATTTCTTAATTTTCCTATATATTATTATAAATTATTTAATATATTAATTATTTTGCAAAAAAAAACAAGGATTTCCAATCACTAAAAAGCGGTTTCGTAATATTTATAGGTTCTATTTATTTTTTAAAATTTAATGGTTTATCAAAAAATGTATTTTTGTAAATAATGGCAGCGAATTTAACCGATGAACAACTCGAACGAATTGCTAGAAATAAGGCTGAAGCGGATCGTCGTAAAGCACTAAAAGGTTTGTCTTCTTCTCTTCATCTAGCACCAATTCTCACCATTACTGGTCGATTGGGCTTCGCTAACCACAAGACTAAGCTGTTATCTCAAAGCTGTTCGATACGATGCCAACGCCAACAGTAATAGAGGCCATTCCGCTTTCCGTCGTCTAAGTCCACATATCGTCGATCCATCTATGCGTTCAAAATCTTTTCTAAGACTGTATCGGATTTCCTTGCATATTCCGCCATCGTATGGTTTTAGTTAGTAACGAAATATATGTATTAACTCTTGTAGTCCTCAAGCTTTTTTAAGATTATTTGAGATTATTATTTTGAAATTATTTATTATTCATTTAATTGTTCAATTATATTATCTAAATCGTTTATTATTTATTTAACTATTTTTTAAAGTTATTATTATATAAATTATTATTTAAGATATTTTTTTGCGATATTTCAAGTGAAATTGGTTTTCTTCGAAAGATGCGAATAAATAAAAAATTTTATCTTAATTTCTAAATATTTGTAATATTTTTTTAATAATTTTTTAGTAAATTATTGATAAAAATTAAAATAATTACTTTTCTGATTTTTTAAACAAAAAGTCAATTCTATTGTTTGATGAAAATTTTTTGAGAAATTAAATTAATTAATCTTTTTTTATCGTAATTTTTTGCAAATTTATTCTTTTATTCATTTATCGAATTTTAGATTCACGCGCTTCTTTTATTGTTCAATATGCGAATATCTCTGAAGTGAATACTGCTCCATTAAAAGATGGTTCATTTGCTTTTTAAATTTTTTTCTTACTATGAAAAATAAATTGTCAATTAAAACAATTAAAATTATGCATTTGTAATACTGAAATACTGAGCTGAAATACTGAAATAGATTGTTTTGAAAAAGATGCATATGCTAGGTTAGTCAATTTAGAGATAAAACATCTACTGCCTAGGCCATATTTTTGTTTCTTTTTAAAAAAAATTTTTAATTTTTTTGAAAATATATATATATATATATTCAGCTAGAAATTTAGATTGTACAAGTTTTTCGATCCTTTTCTGAAGGCTCATATTTTGCAATGTATTTTATGCTTATTTTATTGGATATTTGATTTTAGATTCTCGATCATCAGCTATAGTTGCATATGTTAACGAACGCGAAGACCAAATTTCTTTAAAAACGAATTTTTCTGAAATTAATGTTACTATTACGCTCGTCAATAATCAACGATTTCGAGTAAAATTTTTTCATTACGTTTAGAATTTTTGTTTTATTAATTTTTTTTATTTACTTTTCGAATTTTGAATCTATTTCTATTGAGTCTATTTTTGATGCTATCAGATCAACAAAAAAACTATGGTAAAGATCCAGCAATCATCTAGTATATCGTTGTATAACAACAATAAAATTATTGATTGAGGTGAATTTCTCGCCATATCACTCAAAGATCGTTGATCTATTGAAAAGTGTGCCATCAAGGACTTATGATACCATAACAAAAATATGGTCATTTTCTCTTAAACATTTGGGTTATCTCGAGGATAAACTTTATTCATTTAAAGATGCCCGAATTATTATCAGTTCAATTCCTGATTATGTAATCAAGGTAAGATTTTCTTTTTCTTTAGCTCTGGCTTTTTAGTTTTTATTTAGTTTTTTTTTCTTATTCGGAAATTGTCTTCTTAGATTAATTATTTATTTATTTTGATTTTTTCTCAAGTTCCAAGTTTTGGATATTTTTAAATTAAGGCGTTACAAAAAGAAGAATACTGTGGGAGCGATGGTCGAAAAGAGCCAATTCTTAGTGATAGTATCGAGTCTTCATTACTTGATTCTTTGTTTCCATATCAACGATTGGGTGTTATGTAAGTTTTTAAAATTTTGCTAATTTTTAAGCTTATGCAAAACAAAACAAAGCCATGAAAATTTGATAATTTTTTATGGATCTTTTGTGATTTTTTGCTTTCATCTTTACAGATTCGGTGTTGAACGACGAGGAAAATTATTACTTGCGGATGAAATGGGTTTAGGCAAATCGATTCAAGCTCTTGGTATTGCAAGATATTTTAAAGCTGATTGGCCACTATTGATTATTTGTCCTTCATCTGTAAAATTTTCTTGGTTAAATGTTAGTATTTAATCTATCTTTATTTTCAATGTTTTTCTAATTTGTAATTGAAAATAATTAGTAGTGAATTTTTCAGCAGTTGAATACATTTTTACCAGTAGTAACAAATGTGGTTTTGCTTGACAAAGGCAGTGATAAATTACCCTTAGAACGTTCATCCAGAACTGCAGTGGTAATGAGCTATGATTTAATGGTCATTAAAAGAGTTGCTCTTGTTGAATATGAATTCCATTCTATTATATTCGTAAGTTTTGATAAATTTTGGTTTTAAAATGATTATTTATTGTTTTGAATTAATTCAGACAAATAAATATTTTTTTTAGGATGAATCACATTTGCTAAAAGATGGAAATGCTCAACGAACGGTGGTCGCCACTGAGATAGCGGTATCTTCATAATATAATATCTTCGTACTCTGTATAGCTGTATAACTTTTATTAATTTTTTGCATTTTTCAGCGAAAAGCATTGCGAATAATTCTTTTATCGGGTACTCCAGCTCTATCACGGCCAGTGGAATTATTTTCACAAATTCGTATTATAGATCGGTCTATTTTCCCTGCTTTTCGTTCATTTGCCAGTCGTTATTGCGATGGAAAGCAGGGTAAATTTAATTATGAAGCGAAAGGGTGTACAAATAGTACTGAATTGGCTATTATTCTTTCAAATACTATTATGCTGAGGTTATTTATATTATTGTTGCACTTTATTTCACATTATCCCATGATTAATCTTTTTTTTAATTTGTATTAGAATTTTGGAAGGAACAAAGAAATTTCGTCATTCTTTTTTTTACAGTTTACAGTTTTCGATCTTTCATTAAAATTTTATATTTTATATGAAGGAGACTGAAAAAAGACGTTCTTGCTGATCTTCCAAGTAAACACCAAGAGGTCGTTTTTATCAATGATCATTCGATTGAATCTAATATTGCGAAATTGCGCGCAAGTAAATCTGCCTACAATGGTGCGAAGGTATCGTTTATAACGCTTTTATTAGGGCTATGATCAGTGATGGCCACAGTAAATATTAGTGCGGAGAAGAGTTTTTCAGGATAACGAAACGAAACGAGCTAAGCTTGTAGAATATTATTGTGAAACTGGCCTGGCGAAAGCAAAGAGTGTTTCTCGTTATATAATTGATCATTTTTTTTATGATGGTGCTCCTAAACGAAAGATTTTGATATTTGCTCACCATCAAGTCGTACTTGATACCATTTCAATGGATATAGCTAAAAAGGTATTTTATGATTGTTAATGGGTTCAGAATTTTGACAAACTCTATTTTTCATGTTAGATATTTTTATTAAATATTCTTAGTAAAGAAATTTCGTTTAAGGGGCTTCGTTCCATACGAATCGATGGTGCTACTCCCAGTAAATCTCGTGAAGAGCAGTGTCGTCTTTTCCAAGATAATGAAGACGTTGTTATCGCAATTCTTTCAATAACTGCAGCGGGAATGGGCATAACTCTAACTGCTGCTTCAGTAGTAGTTTTCGCGGAATTACATTGGAATCCTGGCGTATGTTTTATGCTTGAGTATTTTAAAGATCAATTTCAAATTAAATAAATGGTTAATTATTTATAATCTTGTGAGCTGACAAAATAATCTTAAGATCTAAATGTACTTTTTTGAATTCGTTATATTCGCTTAACATTTTTCGGCACCGTTTTTGCATCTTTTTGTGATTTGTGATTTTTAGCTGCAGCAAAAAAGCATTGTAGTCAAGAAGATAGGAGGGAGGAGGATAGAGTTGTACTGGTTAAAAAAGATCTGATTAGAAATAGCAGAAATGGGTAGTATTGATAATGGATCACTGGAAGAGCGCAGTTATGCTTTGGAGATATAAAGAATTATTTAGCAATGTTTTATAAAAAAAGACGCCCGATATATAGATCAACTAGATAAGCCGTATTTCCAGTTTTGACCCACCAAACCCATTGCCACGTTTCTCCGGATATATATATATATATTTACGCACATTAATCATTTAATTACATAAATTATCTGTTGCATAATTTTATTCTTAATCATATAAATGATTCCTGAATGTTCAGATTTAATGACCATTTTAGACCCTTAAACAAGCAGAAGATCGTGCTCATAGAGTCGGTCAACAAGGTTCTGTTTTTATACAATATTTATTAGCCAAAGGAACAGCTGATGATGTTTTATGGCCATTAATTGAAAAAAAGCTTGATGTGTTACAGTCATTTAAATTATCTTTAGATTCGTATAAGGTTTACTTTTTATTTTTTCTCACATAATGGATAATTTTGCTTTATGGATTATTCCTTTTCTACCTTTTTTGATAAATAATTATTTTTTGCTAAAATAATATTGTTTTAAATATGTTTTTGCTAAAATATTTACATAAATGCGTATCTATGCCACCATTTTATGTCTTAAAAATAGCTTATCGTTACAGTTATCGTTAAAATGAATATCAGTTAATTATTGTTGAATAGTTCCAATTTAATTTTTAGACATTCCTTTCAATAAGAACATTCAACATTCCTTTTATCATCCTTTAATCTTATTATATTTATAATTTATTCAAATGGCTTTAATAATTTATTAAAATTTATTTATTGTAAATTTTATAATTCGATTATAATTGCTATAGATCGATGTCTTAATGAAAAAAAAAAAAAAATTAGGAATATGTTGGGCTAAAATTTTTGTTTTAATTTTGTTAATTTTGTTTTTAATTTTGTTTTAATGTGTTTTTATATTTTAGGACGTGGAAAGGATACAGGAAAGTGTAAATACCTCAGTATCGGCCATCGAACAATATTTCCCTCCAGTTAAACGACACAAAATTAATAATCCAAGTTGATTATTCTTTTACTGTATCATTTATTCATTATTTATTAGTAATTCTATTGCTTCTGAATGTAGTAAAATAGTAAACCTCGAAAGTTAAACGCAGATATATTGAGAAAAAAAGATTAGTAACCTATTTTACAAAATTTTACGAATTTCCAGTGGATAAATTATAAAGTGAAGGTATAATATAGATAAGCTAATATAGGCAATATTTAAGTTCAGTGGCAAGCCTGGAGTTAAGCAGTTCTGCAGTAGAAAATGTTGAATTTCCGATTTGCAAGTTGAAACTTTTTTTTTCCCAATAGTAGAAGGAATGAAAATTTAGGCTTATGGGGTTTAGACTTGGTCTTAGGTCCAGGTTTACGGATTTTTTCTTCTCTGGCATTCTCTAGTCTATTTTTTTCCTGTTTAATAAATTCATTTACGGCTAATGTACAGGTTATATTTTTTTTGAAAAGAATTTGTTTCTATTTTCTGATTTATGGATAAAAGTTAAATGAATTGAAATGCATTATATTGTCGTGAAATTCTTTTAAATATATTTTATTTATAAAAATTGCTAGATATTTTTAATTTATAAATTTGAAGTTTATAAATTTTTATTCATAAAATCTTTATTAAATCAATATTGTATATTTTACATTTCTATTCTTAACAAAAAAATTAAAGATTAAATGAATATAGTTTGCTAATTTATATTAAAAAACAATCCCTTTCTCATTCTCTGCCTCATTCTTGGTCTTTCTAGTAGAAGCCTGGAAGCCTAAGGATTCTGCGCAATATCTTAGCAGTGCGCTCTTCTGGATAAGGATTTTTGTTATTTTGATGTTGATCATTTTTCAGTTTAGAGAGCTCCTACCTTCATTTGGGCTTTTTGATCTTCATTTTCCACATCTCTAATTTTTTCAATTTCTTTCTTTACCCTCCCATATTCCTTATTCGTGCGTCGGTGATTTATATACATAAATTTATGAGTTATTTATGAGTTATCCGATCTAGTCGTCTCACTTTTAGTGGATTGCCGGTCCATACTTGATGATAGTGACGATAAATCCTTATTATTTCCAGTATTTGAGCTATATTTTCTTAAAAAAAAAGGTTTTATTTAATTCACTTTATAGGATCTTAGCCAGTTCTCAAATTGGTTCTTATAGTTGTGGTTGATGGTTTTATCATTTATATTTAGTATTATACCGAAATAAGTGAAATGTGCTGGTAAGACTCGCTCCACTGGTTTGTCAGACTAGACAAATATGCCAGGGGGAGTCTTTCGGTGATAGAACTGTAGAAAGGTTGCTAAACGTATTTTTGTACAGGTTTACTTTCATATATTATTTTTCATTATACCTTTTGCATTTGTTTTTCGTTCGAATGTGAAAGAATCCTAATAAAAAGTAAGATTGAGGATTGAGGTGCAGTATATAAAAATTGAGGTAGAAAATGAATAACTGAACCTGGAATGTTGAGAATGGTTGGACCCACTTGTAGTGGAATCATTTGTGGTACTTTCACTTCTATTTTTAATTATTGTTGTTCTCGATCCTTCATTGCCGGAATCTAAGAAAATTATCGCTTACTGATTATAGGCTTGAAACTAGGCTAGATGTTCATTTTATGAAAAAGCCAGAAACAAAATGATAGAAATATTTACTTGAAATCTTATTTATGAATTTCGACTTCTTTTCAACATCTCCATAACATTTTTCAGATTTTTTTTTACCTTAATTTTTATTTATTCATTAAGTTAAGTTAAATTTTTGCCTGTAGGTTAAAAAGTTTTTACTAACGAAGAAAATTAGCCATATTTAGAGAATATTTATATGGCTTGATAGGCTAATAGACAGAAATAAAAAGTTTTTCTTAATTAGAGTGAAACTTTAATGGTACTTGCTAATCAATGCGATTACAGTAGTCTAAGAAATTAAAATCATCACATAAGAGAGTTTACAATATTATTATTAATTATTATTATTAATATTAGCGGGGTTTTCTTGATTGTGGACAAATTGTGATTTTTTTATTTCGTCATAGGTGATAAGATAGTGATAAAAAAATTCATTAAAAAAAAATGAATATATAGGCATTTTACCTGTTAATGAATACGAAGAGATTTTTTTATGTTGTTTAATATCCTTTGTTAAAATTTTTTTATTTTCACTTGTTGCTGTTAAAAATTGATTATTTCTATTATCACCAAATATTGCTTGTTCTCTTTTAGTTTCAATAATTTTGTCGAGAGTTCGTAAAATTTGTTGTCTACAAATAATATTATATCCAATATTATTGTATCTTGAATATGCTTGATGTCGACTTATCGATGCGCTATCTTTTCTTAATATTTCATGATTTCTTCTTGGCGCGCATATTTCTTTATTTTTATCTAAATTATTATTTTTAATAACATAGAGGTGGTGATAATTTTGGAATTATCACTCAATTATCATAATTTTTATCACTCGAATTTTTGGAGGTTTTACTTTGAAGCAAATGCTAACGATATTTAAATACCTTGGATAAGGAAGGATAAAGAATCCATCTATACCCGGGAATATCTATTTGCTTCGATGAAACGTTCAAATAAACAAGAGATAAATTAACTAGTTATCACTTGCCTTAGCTCATTCTTATTCCAATAGTTTTGTATTAATTATCATCGAGTGAACGTTGATAATTGATAATTGAAATGCATATCTAGGCTAGAAGCTTAGCCTTATGACTAAAATAGCCCCAAAAATGCGGAATCCAATCGAAATCTATATAGATAGAGCTAGGAAAGATTTCCAAGCTATAGACGATCCAGCGATTTCAGATGGTAGATGGTTGAAAAAAGATTTGAGTGGCATCTGAGTGAATATAGCTTTCCAAAGCCTTTCCAGGCTTTGAAAAAAAATAGCTTCACTCTTATGGCCAGTGGAGCAGTAAGCAGCAAAAACCAACCCTAACTAATCACATTCGGAAAAATAATAAATAATTAAAAAATCACTTGTAAATGAGTTTTTCGCAATTATTCGACTGAAAATATTTGAAATAATCTTTTCATAATCATTACGATTTAATATTAAATTTGAGCATTGTATAGCTTCGTCAAGTTTTTTTAAACGTTTTTCTGTTACTTGCGTACTCACTGAGCGAAAAGTTTTTCCTTTTGTCTACAAAAAAATTAAATTTCTGCATTAAAATTATAAAAAAAAGGGATAAATTGGATCTATTTATATTAAATATTAGATGTATTATTTAAATCTGTCAGTTGGTTTTGAATAGCGTAACTAATAAATCAATATCACAACTGATAATAATAGCTGATAAAAAATATATAACTAACTTGTATGGCAGCATTTCTGGTCGATACAAAAGTTTGTATATTTTTATAATTGCAAACCACAGTTGTCTGAATTTGTTGATCACATTTTATCACTGATCGACTAATCGATATCGGTTGATCTTTATCAATATCGTATAAACGAATAATTACGAGAAGTTGGAGAGTAGACGAAGCTTCTGGTGATGGAAATAAATTTATCGCACCTTTACAATAAGCTATTGACTGAAATGAATGAATTTTCGTAATTCCATTTTAATTTATTTGTTGAGAATTCTTTCAGCCATTCCGATTTCTTATCTCATTTAGCTACTCAAACGTGTTATCAATATTATCAATATCGTCAAAATTATCAATATTCTTTATAATAGAATCCTCATTGGGTTTATTTACTAGCATTAATTTAGAATTTTTAGGATTTTTTGCCATTGCTGATTAGATTCGTTCTGTTGAATCGAAGAGAAAATTCCTTGACGATACGGATAAGTCGGCGTCATCACTCGAATTTTTGGAAAGGCTCTCGTGTTCTCAAAGTGGAACCTCATTACAGGCGAACTGAACAACAACCCACTAAACCATTCTCTTTTCATCTGTTTTCTTCGTTAGGCAACACTGGCCGCCCGATGAAAAAGTCCTCAATTCTCGGCGGTAATTATCTTACCTTTATCAATTATCAATTATCAATTGCCATTGAGCCATCGAAATATCATTAAGAGGATTTGGAAATATATTTAAATTCTTCAGAAAATTTATTTAAATTTTCTTAACCGCATTTTTCTTTTTTTTAAGAAAAATTTATGGAACTATTGAAAGAATTAATTTGTATTAATTTTAGAATTTATAATGATAATAAAAAATTACAAAAATCAAACCTGATTTAAATAAAATGAATTTAAACTAATTTGACATGAATGTAATGATCCATCAACGCATAATGCTCGGATTTTTAATTTATTATTTTTTATTTTTAATAAAAAATCGCTATCATTTACTAAATAGCATCTTCGACCAACACTTTTCCAGTCATCTTAAATAAATTATTTTATTATTATTATTTTTATTATTTTTTATATGTAAAAAAAAAAAAAAATTCATAAAGAATTTATTTGAAAGAAGACGTAAAGAAATGAAAGAAAATTTAAATTTATGGCAATTAACTGTAACGATTTAAAATAAATTGATAATTTTTAAGTCTTCTAGATTGTCCTTTAACCGGCTATCAAACTATAATTATTTCTTATCACAATTATCGTCGGACTTTCTTATTTCTTATCAAACTTATCAGAATTAGAATCAAATCACTCCACATAGATTTTACTTAATGATAAGTTTGCTCATACTGATCGAATCTATATTGCTTATACTCAATTAAAATAATCTAATCTTTCAATAATTTTTTCTTCTGATCCAGAAAAACTTTTTTAAAACCCTTTTGCTTTCTTAATTCTTTATTTTTTATTTATATTATTTTTATTTATATTATTTATATTTTATTTATAATATTTATTTTTATTTATATTTATAGTCAATTTATATTTATAATTTATATTTTTTTTTTCATTAGAAAGGCTATCATTAAATTTCAAAATTTTAAACAATTAAATAAATTTATTACCTTGAATAATTGATTGCCATTCATAATCGGCAAGTTTAAAATCGATCTGAACACAATTCGAATAATTAAATTGTCGAATATTTTCGATAAAAAATTCAAAGCAAAATAATGCCTTATCCATAACGTTCCATAAATCCCATATTATTCTTTTATTATCGTTGCTATGGGTATATCGACCAATTCTTTTATATTATATAAATAATGAATAGGGAATTAGAATGGCACAGTGGATTGCTGCTCAATTGGGAGCGCCGATACTGAGGTTCGATTCTCCGCATGAGTAAACCTGTACAAAAATCCGAGTGATGCTGGGCGACTCACCTGTATCGCCAAGAGATTCTCTGGTATATTGCCGAATTCGACAAGCCAGTGGAACGAGCTTTACGAGCAGTAATGGTGAGGACTCTTAAAAAAAATATATATATATGTATATATAGATCTATGGATACAATAAATATATTTTAAAATTACGTTCACTATTGGATTCATTAGGTTGGCGATAACCTTACTAGCTTATCGGGCCAAATAAATTTTGCCCGAAAGGCTATACGTATTTGATAATCAAAGGCTACACGTATAAGTTATTAGTACAGCAGGAATTTTTGAAAGTTTTATTTCGATCAGGAATCGAACATCAGCGATTCGAAATGATAGTTAATAAGTCATTTTTTTTTTTGTACCATTTTTCCTCACAAATTCTTTGAATATTAAAAAAAATTTTAATATAATATTTTATATTATATTTTAATATTTTGATATTAATTAATCTCAAATTATAAAATTAATTTATAAAATTTAATTTTTAATATTTATAAAATTTCTGATAAGAAAATTTGAAAATTTTTTAAAATTTTGCAAATTTTTCAAATTTTTAGAAAATTGGTAAAATTTTTTTTTTTACTAATAAGTCCATTAATCATTAAAATATTTTTATAAAAAAAACCATATCGTTTCAAAAATTTTAAGTAATTTTGAGATTTTTTTCTTCTTTTTTAATGGAAAAAAGTTCGAATAAAATAAATGATTTTCAAATATGTCATATTTTCAACGAATAAAATTGATAAAAAATTTTAAAATAAAGAAAATGTAAAAATTTAAATTTTTATGAAAATTTTATGAAAAAAGGTAGAGGCTTTATGCGAATTCAATTATTCAAATATAATAAAATATAGCAAAAATCGCTAAAAAAAAAAGTATTAAATATTTATATAATCATGGAAATGATGACGAGAAATTTGTATTTTAACTTATTACTTATCATCGTATGGAAATTCTAAATATAAAAGTCTTCAACAAAAAAGACTGAACTTAGCATCGTACAAGATTGCTTATAATTAATCGTGAGGATAGTAGCAAAAAATAATTTCTTTATGGATAAATGACTAATATCTTCTTCTAATATTAGGCTGGTACCACAAGTTATCCAATGTCACATTCTAAAGCTTAAAGCTATTCCTTTTTTTACCATCTAAATCCATATATATAGTCCATTCGCACACAGCAAATACATTCAAAATCTTAAAACCTGATTTTATTAATCCAATATTGAAAAATGTAATACTACGCAATTGCGCAGGAAAAAAAAAAACCCGAAAAAAAATATATTGAAAAAATAGAAAATGGAATCATTGAATTATTCATTAATATTCAAAATGATTAATCGTATTGATGGCTTAATAAGTGCCAACGAAAATCAAGCATGGTTCGCATATGAATCCGGGCGATACACCACACTCCGTCGAAAAAATCAAGCAAGAATAGAATGGCTCAATAAGTTATTGTTCAATTTAAAGCTCCAACTTAGAGATCCTAATTTTTTTTGAATAGTCCTCACCATTACTGGTTCAACTCGTTCCGCTGGCTTGTCGCATTGGACAAGTATACCAGGGAGTCCTTTAACGATAGAAATATGGGTGAATCTCCAGCATTACTCGGATTTTCGAATAGGTTTACTTTTGCTCCTACGGGGAATGGAACCTCCACATAAACGTTCTGAATTGAGGAGGTTTATTGCTCGATTAGGAGCGCTGATTCTGAAATTCGATTCCCACCAGGAATAAACCTGTAAATTGTTTGAGATCACAATTGATCACAGTAATGAGATGATTGGCCTTTATTATGCAGAAATATGAAAAGCAGTAAGAACGACTTAACAATTTTTTATCTAATAAGGTATCCATCGAATCATTCGCTACGATCAGATGGGAGTTTAAAAATGAAAAAAATATTTTGGAAACATGAGCCATAGAAGAAAGGAGAAATCATCCCTTCCACTATTCCTTCGAAGATCTCGACAGGGACAGGACAGTTGATGGAAAATGTTAAAGAATATTATGAAAGAAAGGAAAAGGAGTCATTTTTTGCTGATTTAAATATGTCAGAAAGGCCTAAATGCCTACAAAATAATTTTTACCTATAGGCTACTAACAGATAAATTCAATTGCTGTCAATAATAATGGTATCAAAAGAATTCGTTGGTATGGAAAAAAAAGCAGCTGTAGGTGTTCAAAATTCCTCTAGAAAACTAAATTAAAATATCTAGTCATATCTGTTCTATTCTGCCTAATAGGAATGTCCACTTGGTCCCGAAAGAAAAAAAGAAAAGTCCCTTTCATGCGAAAGGATTGAAATATAAAGAATTATATAATCAGGGTTTCTTTAAATAGTAGAAAAATCAACTGTTTGGAACCTCATCAACTATTTGGAATGGCGGATAATTCCACGATTTCACCTTTCTCTTCTAATTTAACTATAATAGCCTTAGGATATTCGACCAAGTAATTGCATAAGAAATAAGCTTAGAGTATAAATTATATGATTTACAGTTCTTATCAATTTCAAATCTACAGCAAATTTAAAGAAATATTTCTAAATACTTTTGTGCCTAAACAAGTTTTAGAGCAACTTATCAAGATGCCATTCCAGAGTAGTTATAATTATTCATTTCTTGCAAAAATTTCAAATTTGCTGAAAAAAAATTTTCAAAAAATTGATTTATTCCCCTTTCTTTGAAAATTCTAGAAAAAAAGATATAAAGAAAAAACTTTAATAAGTATAAAATTAAGTATAACTGAGTTGGTAAAAAATTTCTCTGCATAATAACACTTTAAAAATTTGTCATTTATAAATACTTTTCAAATAAAGAAGAGCAATTTTTAGCTATCAACAAAGATTCTTTTGGAAATATATTTGAAAAAATTTTGCATATTCATGAAAACAAATAATTTTGCAATATAATAATGATAATGCTATCACCTTCGATGTTACAAGCATATAAATAATTTTTTAAATAATAACTTTAAAATAATGATAACAGTTAATAAATAATTTTCTAATGTATTTGTTGAAGATAACATAAGTAGCATTTTCTTCAACGAAAATCAAAGTTCTTGCCTTTCGTTTAGCTAAACTGAAATATAGCTATTGGATGTTAATGATGCCTTCAATAGACTACCATCCAAACCAACCGATAATATTCCGCAAATATTATTTTATAAGAAATGTGCTATCACGAATTGCGATGTTTTCTAATTCACTATTTCAAATTAGTTACTCCAACCCGCCAAATGATACCTTTCATTAACTTAACAATTCTTTGCCTTCACATTGTCAATAAAAGATAAAGGCTAATTTATAGTATATTATTTTTCCCTCATTGTGGAGCCATCAAACGACCCAAGCGGTTTGGTCCCAATATTTCAATATTTACCCTTTTGTTATTTAATATCCTTTATTTAATTATATTTCTTATTTCTGAGATAGTTATGTTATGTTTTTAGCCTATAGATTTAATTTGTATCGAATATTGTTTTTTCTTATCAGTGATCATGATGTTACTAAGGTTTAATTTACGTTCGGTGATAAGTGTTAAGTGTTAAGTGTTTAAGGTTCTAATAAAATAGCCGGATCAAGGTTTCCTAAAATAAGTAAGGCGTGGCAGGCAACCGAAATCCTGCTGTTTCAATCATTATATCTTCAATCATTTATTTTATCTTTTACATGTGCTATCATCATAAGTCTTCATCTATTTTTAATTTACAAGAAAATATGGCCTAAATTTAAGAACCTGGAAAGTCCCATATAATTCCCAATCTGTCATAAGAAAAAAGATAGCCATAATCTATCCAGTTACTGGCTTATTGGCCTAATATGCGTTGGTTAAGAATTTGCAATAAGATGCTTAGCTATCATGATGCCAATACTTTAATGCCTTTTTATCAGCTCGTGCGTGAAAAAGATCCATCAATACACAGGTATTAAATAGCTAACCTTTTTAATTATCAACTGATAATGGAAAAATATCAGTTATCCAGTTCTGGTTAAAGCCCTTGATATTGTTTCTTAACTTGCATAATTTCCCATTAATAAATATTTTTTTTTGTCTTCACCATTACTAGTTAAACTCGCTCCACTGGCTCAAATTGAGCAATACGCCAGAACGTCCCTTGGCGATAGAAATATAGGTGAGTCAACAGCATCACCCGTAATAAATATGGCATTAAAGAGGGTTTTCATATAACAGGACTAGTTAAAAGACCGGTACTAAACTGTACATGGACATTGCCAATGAGAGAGAAGAATATTAAGAAACTATTTATCTTTGACCACTCTTGTCTAAAATATATTTTACGGATCCGTCGAGCAGATAAAATATTACATGATCGCATCCACCTTCGTTCAAACACCACCTGTATTAACAATATTATCACAGAGCTCGAGTTGATGCATATTTCGTTATTTGCTAAACCATGTGATGGTTGGCATCAAAAGCGAGGAAAGCTAGTCAAGACCTGAGTTGACACAATCAAGAAAGATTTTGAATGTATAGGTGGACCAGCAATATATGGATTTAGACGATGGAACAGCTTCTATTACTGTCGACGATGACATCAGACCGCGCCTTTTGGAAGCGCCTTACCTTTGTAGACGTTGGAACCAACCTAACCAGTAATGGTGAGAGCTGTTAGAAGAAGAAGAAGAAGAACTAAGCTGTACATATAATTCTTCTTCAGATATGACTCCTGTCAAATTTTACATCTTTCAAAGTAATTATATCGGATTATTACCATAACTTTTTTTAAATTATCTATCAATGATGTCACCAAAGTTGAATTAAATTTTTACCATTTATCTCTTTTTTCCTAAAAGAGATAACCATTTTCATTTGTACTTAGGCTTGCTCCGCTAAATTTTATGAAGAAATCAAGAATTTGAAGTAGAATTAAATCATCAGCGTTATTTCTGAAAGATAGATTTATTTTGGCTAAGCATTCCCTAGCAAAATTTGCTTGATCCTTCAGGCCAGTGCAACAAGTCTAATTAGAAACGGTGAAGGCTCTTGGAAAAAATTCAAAGATAAAATTTTTTATATTTTATATTACTATAAAATTATTGTATAAAAATAATTTGAAAATTCTATCGATAAATTTACATATAAAAAATATAAAAAATGCTAATAACTATTGATCAATTAAGTCGATTTTTCGAAATAGATTAATGATCAAATTGTGAATAATTTTTGCTTAGATTGAGTTGATTTGGCCTATAAATCAGTTTTTTCGTATATTTTTTATTCAATCCTATAAAACAAATAATATTTAAAGGCCTTTTGAGCATTTTTTAAAAATATTTTTATTCTTTGATATTTTTATAAATTTTTAAATTATTAATTAAATTAATTAATCATTTAATTAAATTTATTAATTAATCATTTCATCTTTATAAACATTCATTCTTAAATTCAAGTATTTAAAAAAAATTTCCAATTTTGATTCACCAATCTGAATTTCGATTTTGAATTACTCTAAGCGGAATGGAATAGAATGGCTCGGCGGTTTGTTGTTCAATTCGAAGCGCCAGTACTGAGGTGTAAATCGCAGGAGTAAATACTGCCCAAAAATTCGAGTTGCGCTGTCTATCACCATAGGACTCCCTGGCATAATTTTCCAGTATGACAAACCAGCGCAGCGAGTCTAACCAGTAGCGATGATTTAAAAAAGGTGTATGGCATGATATTTTTAATTATTAACCAGCACAAAAATTTTTTTAAACGAATTCACTTGTGCACGCTTTTGATTTGCATGAATATTGTTTTCTTTAAAGTTATTATTTTGATTTGCCAATTGACGATTTTAAAAAATTTAATTCTGTGAATTTTTTCACAGATATTTTCGAACATTTAATGACGTTGATTCCAGTTTTCTCATTTTCTGCCAGTTTTTGTTGCATTTTGTTGTATTCTATTTTTCAGATTTTTAAAATGGTATTTTCTATTTTCTTTTTCGAAGAAATTAATTATCGTTGATTATCGTTATCGTTAAGAAAATTTGAAAGTTTATTGTCCTGTTATTTTGAAACTAAAAAGAAAAATGATAATTAAATGATAAATGTTAAGAGTTATAATTTTTGCTGGAATTATCAAAAATATCCTATCAAATTCTAATTCTACAATTCGAACTATTTATTTATTTCAGAATATTTCAGCAGTAAAATTTGGATCTCATTCAAAAGCCGATTATTTATCAAATTTGAAAATTATTTATTAAATTTTTTTCACTAAAAAAATGATCTTTAATATAAATAGATTTTATTTTTTCGCTTTATTAACCTGGCAATTTGCTTTATTTTTTTCATCGCAAATGATTTATCCAATTTTCTCGAATTATTTACCGAAATGGCGTTGTTCAAGAAACGAAACTTTCACCTCGGATTGTCATATATATCTTTCATGTAATCAAACCGTTGAATTTGAACCGGTAAATTTTTTTTTCACAATTACTTTTTTTTCAATTTAATATATTTTCTTGGTCTTTGAAAAAAAAAAATGAATGATTATGGGTCGTTTTTCGGAAATTTTTCCAGTTTCGATATTTATTTAATATTATTTTATATTTATTTTATTTATATTTATCTCATTTCCACAATTTTTCTTATTTCTCGAAATTTATTTTTGGAAATTAGTTTTTTAATTTTTTTTTATTAATTGCGCTATTTTCATACAGTTTTGAGATTTTGAAAAATTCCACTATTGATGCTACATTTTTTACAATTTTCATTTGATAAAAATGAGAAACGAAATGGAAATTTTATTTTTTTGATAAGAAATCCTTGATCAAATGATTGAATTTTGGTAAGGAAGACGAGAAAATCTATAATAATAAAAAGCAGGAGAAATGAAATAAACGAAATAAGTTAAAAGTGATTTCCTTGGTTACATATTAAACTATAGATAATTGCATTAGTTTAATATATTAGCACCGTACAGTTCTTGAAAACTAGCAAACACATTTATCAAGCATTTTATCATAGCTTCAGTTGATAATTGATAATTTATTTATTTAAGGTGTCATTTTATTCGACTGCACTTGAATATGAATGGATTTGTGGTCCAAAAGCATATCTTGCATCATTATATAGCCAAATTCAGTTTTTTGGTGTACTTATCGGTACATTTTTATTTGGTACATTATCAGATGCATTTGGTCGTCGACCAATCGCTATACTAGCGCTTACTACGGGAATTGTGGTTTCGTTTTCTTCTGGTGAATTTTTGATCTTATTTTGAGATTATCTTAATTTTCATTTAAAAAAATTTATTTATCTGATTTATCTGGTTGATTTGTACCCTAAATCTATGCTAAAAATAATGAGCTATTCATATTCATACAAATTAAAATTAATTTATATTTTTAAGCATTTGCACCCAATTGGCAATTATTACTACTATCACGATCCATTGTTGGATTATCTATTGGTGGGACAATAGTTGGTGTTTGTACTTATATCATGGAAATGTTACTTCCCGAACAAAGAATGGCACTTCGAGCTTTCTTCAATTGGGTGAGAATAATAGAAATGTTTTAATATCAACTAGAAACTTGAACAAAAACGATATTTATTTTGGCTAAAATAATTAAAATAAAAAATTTTTTTGAATAGCGCTCGCCATTTCTGGCTAGGCTCCTCTAACCTAATGGACTAGATATTACACCATATGGCAAAAGAAATCAATGAGAGAAATATTAATTGAATTTTTGAAAGACAAATTTGCTATTTCTGGCAATTATAGTACCCAAGCATTCGAAATGAGAATAACAATCCAGTGAGTTATCTTACACCAATTTTTTTCCATTATGTGAAAATATATGAAATTCAAGCAATTTTCAGATTCTTTATATTTTTTAAAATAGGTAAATATTATAAATATTATTATTATTATTAATATTATTTTTTCAATATTTTTTAAAATCTATTTAAAATAGGTCGAGTCTTCAAAATATAATTTATAGGGTGTTGCTCGACTATTGCTAACAACAATCTGTTATTTATTACCAGATTGGCGATCATCAAGCATTGGAAATGCTATTGCCGCTTCACCTGCTTTAATAATCATTCTCATCATACTCCCCGAGAGCCCAACCTGGTTGCATAGCAAGGTTTAATTTATTGAATAAATATTTCAAATATCTCTTCTATCACTAGCGTTTCACTCGTTATCTGATTGTCTATTATTTTTTCTCCATTTTTTTCTAATTTATTAACGAAATTAGAAGAATTTAGCTATAATGCGAAATAATAAATACAAGCATATTCCTGTATGATATTCGAGATTCATATATTCATATTAATATTTATAAATAAATAAATAATAAATAATAATAAATAAATAAATAAAATCATTTTTTAGCGCTCTCCTTGTAGTAATTTTAGTTGTTTAACAATTTTTGGGATTTAAGGGACGATTAGAAGATATGCGTAAAAGTGAGAAATATATTGCTCGATTTGCTAATGTTGCGTACGAAGAGAAAGAAATTCAAAAAATTGAAAAAAAAGCGAAATTAATCGAAATTATTCGAAGCCCACAATATGCTAAACGGTACGTGAATATGATAGTCAATGATAGTCAGGTGGATATGAAAATTGGTTCCCTAATTCACTTTCATTCTTAAGCATACTTTTAGGTGAATTTTTAGAGGTATTTCCAACATTTATGGCTAATTTAGGCTCGCTTGATTAGACAAATTTGGTCCAGTGATTTACTTTTCGATATAAATTGCCCAGGATGATTAGGAATTTTGGAAGCTCGACTACTGCCAAAAATTCAATCCTACCATCGGCGTATTGAAATGAAAATTATTCTACTTCGAGCATAATTTAGTTAAATCATTTGGCTTTAGTCACCTTATAGCAATTTTCATAATTACCTTATGGTAATAGGGAATAGAATGGCTCAGCAGGTTGTTGCTCGATTTAGATTTGTCGGTACTTAGATTTTGCTCTTCTACAGGAATAAACCTGTCTCTGTGATCTCAGTAATGCTGACAACTTATTTGTACTTCTATCGCCAAGCGACTTCGTGGCATATTTCTGTAGTACGACAAGCCAGTGAAGCGAATCTAAGTAATGGAGAGCATTTTTAAAAAAAATAATTTTAGTTCCGAAATAAGAGTACAAATCCACTGAGTTATATCTCATTTCCAATTTTTTTCCTTTGTACATATATGAAATTCCATCAATTTTAGATATTTTCATAGCTAATGCAATTAATAAAGATGAAACAACAATTTCTGGTTTAATTTAAAGGCATAAAGGCATTTTATAAAGGCATTTAAGGCATTTATCAAGGCATTCTTATAAAGGCATTTTATCAACGTACAATGGCGCAGATCTGTATATATGAGGAATCGACAGACTTCTTCGAGATAAAAACTGAGTTGAGGTTGCATCCTCTCCTGTACAATATTCAAATGTACGATAGAATGGATAATAGATTCGAAAATCTAAAATTTATGTAAATTTTTTAGGCTTTTTGTTTTATGGATGATGTGGTTTACATCTTCATATTGTGGATATGCTATCGATTTGAATTCAACTCGAATTAGTGGAAATTTATTTATCAATCAAGCATTATTTTCAATACTCATTGCTGCATCAAAAGTTAGATTGCTTAAAATATTTCTAGAAAATATTTTTTCAGCTAATTAAGCAATCTAATTTTTTGAGTTTATCAATATAATATCAACTATCATATTTTGATAAGAGAAACGAAAATGAAACATAAATAATTCAATTTCGATTAATTTATCTAAATTTTTTTAGTTTTATATTGGGTTGTTTTTTGATTTTTTTCCCTTTTTTTTGCATTAATCTTCTCTTTTACTGGATTATCGAAAAATAAGGTAAAATAATATTGCAGATAATGCTTGTCATATACGATTCGTTAAATGTTTCATTTAATCGACGAAAATTACATCAATATGCGCAAGCATGTGTTTGCATTTGCTTCCTAATTCTTAGTATTCTTATTATAAAATACAATGTAAGGAATTTTGGTACAAAATTCTATATAAAATCATAAAATTTAATAATTTTTATTTTATCTAATAAATAAATCTCACGTTTACTATTTTTCGGCTCGATTCTCGTTATTCTTGCAATAATTATACATTTTGGAACATAGGATAGCTTAGTGGATAGCATATTGTCCAATGCGACAAACCAGCGGAGTGAGGCTAACCGATAATGATGAGGGCTTTCAAAAAGAAAACGGTTTATCAATTATTTGCTTATCATTAAGAACTTTTTAGAATATTATGATACTAATAATAAATTTAATTGGAATTGTATTTATTGAATACACTTGGGATGCTTGTTATTTATGTGCCGTGGAAGCAATGCCAACAAATATGCGTGCATCTTCACTTGGTTCATGTTCACTAATCGCTCGTATAGGTGCTTTACTATCACCAATGGTGCGTATATCAACATTTTTATTTTTTACTCATTTGTTTAAAATGATTTGATTTGTTATCAAATCTATAATCCATTTTTTTATAGACTTTGATCGAGTTAAAAAAAAATTTTGAAAAAAAAGTGAATCTTTTAGGCTTCAAAGTTTAAATTTTTTTAGGCGTTTTATTTTGTAACTATTTGGCCACCGTCCGTATATTTAACCGTTGTTATTATCGGAATGATAAATCTCATCATTTCATATTTATTTTTGATTGAAACAAAAGGAGTTATACTCGATAAAGTCGATGTTGGAGAAATAGACGAACAGGAAAAAATTCCTATGATGCGAAAAAACGATTCATAAAAATAAACACTCTTTTTTTTTAACGATATTGCGGAATGATACGAAATGTTACAGCTATAATTATTATTTATTTATATATATATATATATAATTATTTGAGTAAAAAATTTTCAAATTTTTATAATTCATAGGAAAATTTTCGCTGAAAATTTTTTTTACAAAACAATTCAACTTAAAATCTTTTAAATTAATAAAAAAATTAATAATAAATAAATAATATTTGAAAATTTGAAAAAAGAAAAAAATTTCAATATAATATGATTTCTCTATTGTTTTTTGAATAAATAAACATTTCTTAACTTTATTTTTTACGATAAATATATTTCATAGAAAGTTTTGCCTAAACAATGAACTTTGTTAAACTCCTAACAAAAAACTAGCAAAAGGCTAATTTCATTAATTTCCTGAATAGGTGGACCAGCAATATATAGACTTAGACGGTGGAAAAAGGAATGGTTTCTATATTACTGTCGACGATGGCATCAGACCGCGCCGTTTGGAAATTTCTTACCTTTGGAGCTAGCCTAACCAGTAATAGTGTGAGCTGTTAGAAGAAGAAGGCTTTCTTGAATAAAAGGTGGAATGGTTCATTGGTGTTGCTCAATTCGTAGCACCAAGGATACTTCAAAAATCCAGGTGATGCTAGTATACTCACCTACGTTTCTATCGTCGAGAGAGTCTCCCTGGCATATTTGTAGAGGACGATAAGCTAGCAAAGCGAATCTAAACAATAATGATGAGAGCTCATTTCCTGAAAAAAAGAATTTCCTGAATGCAGTTTCTTTTTTTCTTGAAAAATTTCCTATAGTAATGAAAAAATGGTGAGAAATCGAGAGGGAAATTCATACAAAAACGCAATATGTATTTAAAATTGTTGAAAATCATTTACTTATTCCCTTTTTGATTAGAATTTCCGCATAGCAATACTATCTTTCATTTCCTATAGAATTTCTCGATAGAATAATAATTAGTGGATTACGAAGGTCAATTTTAGTGTTCGACATCAAGAAACGGCAACTTTAAAAGATTTCGAAAGAAAAGAATGACCCCTTGTAATTTGTAACGATTAATTCTCTTTAATAAGATTTATGTTGAATGTAAATAAATAAAAAATAGATTTTTAAAGTGCAAAAAATAGGATTTTGAATTTTTTAAATGGATTTTCTCTTTTCTTATAATTGCTCACCATTTTTGGTTATACTTTGCTCCGCTGGTTTATCGGAACAGATAAATTTTGCTATGGATTGAAGAAACAATAGCAGTTGAGGTGAATCGCCAACATCATATGTATTGACTATTTCTATTTTATTAATTTTAAACATTTTCAAATGTTTAAATGAGTTTTAAATGATTTTTTTCTGAAGATTAAGTAAGACAATAATATTTATAAATATATAAAAAACGATGCCATAAATTTATTGTGTTGATATTCAAATATTTGTTAACAAAAATTATTATTACATAGCAATGAATAAATTAATGATTTCAAAAAAAAAAAAAAATTATCACTTAATTTTCGCGACAAATTAATCTCCTAACTTTTAATTATTAACAAAAATTTTTCACCGTAAATTTAGGCTAATTATAAATTATTGATAAGAATGATAAAGTGCTTATCTCTTCTTTAAAAATTTATGAAATATTTATTCAAATAGAAAAATTTTTTAAATTGACCAATTTTAACATTTTTTGTTCATTCCGATGATTTTCAAATTTTATCATTATAATCACCGATTTTTGAATAAGGAAATAATTTTAATGAAATCAATTTAGTTCCAAAGAAAAATATCAATATTAAAATAGTTCAGATTATTCGAGTGGGGAATGAAGAAAAACAATAAAATCCTCAATTAAATTTATTAAAACATTAAATAATATTTATAATATAAATAAATAAATCTTTTTTGACATTTCCCTAATAAAGCAATGAAAAATTGATGAAAATAAAAAAGAAAGATGGCGAAGAATTGCAATTTATATTTAATCACTAAATTCGTCAGCGAATAAATAAAAATTTATAAATTTATATAATATTACGAACGAATTATGATCATCGTTCTATACAAAAAATTATTCACTTTTCGCCTAGAAAAATTTTCGAAAAATTTATCACAAAATAAATTTAAAAAATATCGAAAATAAAAACAAAAATGAAAAAGAAAAAAATTTTTAGGAAGCACAAAATATCACAAAATCTGTTACTTTACTATATTATACATAATCAATTGAGTGATTAATTAATTAACATTAACTTAAAATAAAAAAAAAAATACATTTCATCTTATTATACCTCTGGTCACAACCAGTTTTCACTATACAGTGATAATAATGATAATGATAATGATGAAAAGTGATAAGACAATAAAAACCTAGAAAATTGGCATATTTATTATAGAATACAAAACATAAAGTTTCTTCCTTAAAAATATCCTTTGTAACTATTCCATATTCGAAATCTTAACTGCAATATCAATAAATTTCAAATATAAAAATTCAATTGAACCTAATCAATCAATTTGTTGTTTTTTAAGAAATAATAAAAATTATTTTGTGATCTAAATAAATTTTTTACAATTTTAATTTATCCAGTGACTGAAAAAAGAAATATTTGTAAATAAAACTGAAGCAAACTTTCTGGTTCAATTCAAAAATTATTAAAAATAAAGGTATTGAAAGCGATTACTATATGTATTCATATATATATATATATATATATATGTATATTGTAAACATCTTTAAGGCACTAAACTTAGTTTAAATTAAATTTATATAAATAAAAAATCGAAGCATAAAAAAACCGAAGCTCGACCCACAACTTTATTAATTCTAATGAATTCTCCACTAATTTTTTAACTGAAGCAACTGATCCAGAAGGAGTTCTATTCGGAATGCCGAAGTAAGAACGATTTACGGGACAACCTGGACTGTTAGGTGAAAATGGTAAAGTGTTCCTTAGTTTTTTGTTTTTTTAAAAATTTTGTAGCTTTAAATTGAAATTATATAAGTACCAGTTTTTTAGTGCGGAAAAACGAATAAATAAAAACGATTTTAAAGTGGTTTTTTCAGCCTTCTAAACGTTCCAAAAAATTTGGATCCTTAAAATATTCTGGAATGGTATCGTCCATTCGATTAATGACTTTATAAATTGTTTTCTTCCATGAAGGCTCTGAATCACGTCCACTTTGAACAGCACTAAAGAATTCCCGTAATGTTTCTTGTATAACCAAAGTCAACTTTTCCGGTGGCTGCAAAATGGTTCATTATTTTTATTCGAAAATTACTCTTTTCTAAAAATTTACAAAATTCTAAAAATCAGTTTGGTAGAAAAATAAATAAATTTTCAACTATGGAAATGAATCCAACTTACTTGAATATGATTATTTCGATTATAATGTTGATTAAGATTTTTATAAATTTCTGATTCTGGAGTTACAATAATATCTTCTTTATTTTTTATTCCTTCAGCTAAATAATTTCGGGCATATTTGTCCATTTGATTATAAAAAAATTCCCTAAAAATGATTCATTTAAATTGATAATAAGATAACCGAAATATTTTGTTTTAACAAAAATTAATATCATAAGAAGCACGAATCCTATCGTTGTACAGGATTAAATACGGAATTACAAATTGGAACTTATTAGAAATGAAATCCGGATAATGGCAGAGATCCACTTATACTTCTCTATTCCCAAGTGACTGTGTGGTGAAGGGATTAATGGCCAGTAGAATAGATAATTAAGAGACAAATTGATGGGACAGTTTGCAAAAAAAAAATCAGAAAATTGAGTTCAATTAAAGTAATATTTTATTATGGAAAATTTTATTATCAAATTGTCGATCTTATCAATCATTTTTTTTTCATACTTTTTACTTTTATTATTTCATACTTTTTTATTTTTATATTATAAAATAAATCTAAAATTGAGAAATAGCGGGAAAATTATTAGAATTATAGATTATTATAGAGTATATTATTTCATGGGCGAGTAAAGCCAGAGTTTTAACCATTCTCAGCTGGTCAACTATCAACGATACCTCATCACCTGTCCCATCTAATATTTACTTATCTCTTATTTATCACTCATTTCTCATTCTTTATTTCCTATTTTCCTTTAGTGCAAATAATTAATATATTATTAAAAGTAAATCATTCTGTAATTTGGAATCATATTTCCTCGAAATCTATTCAAATAAACATCGTTGAATACGTATCAATTATTTGTTTATAATGCATTTGACCTCAAATGATAACCTTTAATTCATTTTTGCTCACCGCTATTCCATCAAATCTCTTCATTTTATTTTCATTATTTTCTCTATATTTTTCCTTAGTTTTCTTCTATTCTTTCCTATTATAATTTTTTAGCAAATTTTCTTTTTTTCTATTTTTTTCTTGTTTCACTAATTATATATTTATTATATTCTATATATAAATATTCTTGAATTATTCTCTTTCTCTTTCACTTATCGAATAATCCTTTATTTTCAGCATATTCACTCTATTCTATTATGATTGGCTCTCAAGGTTAATAATCTATACAGATCACCTTTCATGATATTACAGTATTCCTCAAATCTTCCAAATTTTATAATTGTTTCAAAAAATTCATGAAACTCATCGATGATTGAGAAATCGATGATTTTATGATTAAAAAAATAAAAATATATATTTCATAATTTAAAGATAAAAAAAATTCATATAAATTTTTAGCTAAATCATTGAAAAATCATAAAAATAATTCTATTTTATATTATAAATTTAATTAAATAATAAGTAAATTAAATATAAATATAATTTAAATAATAAATTTATTAAATAATAATAAATCAATTCTATAACAAATCAATAGTGGTTTTTTTAAAGTAAAAAAAAACGATTATTAAATAAAATTGAACAAACCGAAAATTTGAAAACCACTTAACAAGCTGAGCTGTATTGTTTTTATTGAAACGTATATCAGGAAAATATGATTTCAGCAAAGCTGAATTCGGATAACGCGTATAAAAAAACATTAATTTCGCTTTTCGTAAATGCATTGGAGTCAGTGTTGAACTAAAAAAAAACCACTATTCATCATATATATATATATATATATTTATATATATAATTTTTCTTTTAATTGTTATTAATAAAAATTATTGTTAATAAAATTATTATTAATAAAAATATAAAAGTAATTCAACCATCATAATAAATATAATTTTTATAATTTATAATTTATAAATATAATTTTTTTTATTATTATTTGCAAACTATAAAAATTAGAAAGATTAGAAATTATAAAAATTATAAAAATTTTCTTAAAAATTATGAATACATTTCATTACCATAAAATATCAAAAAGATTGGTTGATATTTTAAATCTAAATTCATCAAATATGCCACAAATATAAATTGTAATAAAAATAAGTCGTTTATTAGTAAATTTATATGAATAATAAACCTTAATGCTTGTCATTTGAACAATTAGAATCATAACCATAATTATATTATTATTATTATTTTGAATTGTTATTAATGACACACTTAGTATGATTAAATTTTAACTGAATTTTATTTAAAATCGTAAAATCATAGAATTTATTTGAAATTTAAAAGAATAGCTTACTTCTGTTTTTTATGTTTGATTTACATTTTATGTATAATAAATAAATATATTTTCATAAATATTTTTAAATAAATATATTTTTATAAATATTTTCCTAATAATAGAAATATTTTACCTTGATCCAGTGCTATTTTCGTAAGGCCCACAATCGCTAGCATCATCTGAATTGATTGGACTTTCTCGCTCTTCACTTCCAAAATTTCCTTGACCATACATAGGATGACCAACCATTGTTGGAGGAAAATATGATGAAAGCTGAAAATTTTTCATGATATTTCTTTAAATGAATTAAAAGCTTGGATTTAATATTAGACAAATTCTAAAACAAGCCCAGTAATAAATCAGAGATTAGCATACAGTCAGTTTTTTTTTAGCGATATGGTAAAAAAACTATAAACCATTGGTGATGATCGAGCACTATCTGGATGAGATCCTTCGCGATTTCCCGCTGAAGACAATTTATTAAGCCGCGTACAATCAGTCACCTTCGATCTCTTTTTGCGAGGCATAAACGGGCTTCAATAATTGATAATTAATAACGAATTCCTAATTGTTTTAATTTGTTAAATTCTTGTTTTTAAAGGTAAGTATAAATATAATGGTAGAATGATTTTAATGATCAGTGGAAATTGTTTAAAACTTTTTCAAATAACATATATTTTGAAAAATTCCAGTGAGAAACCACTTATTATCGTCTTAAAAATTTTTCAATTCATTTATTTCGAAAAAAAATTAATTACCTTAAATCATCGGCTTTACGTATTGTGGCTGTTGGTGATGGTGGTTTTATATGTGATATGAATGGATTGAATCCAGTTGATTGGGTAACTGATGGAAATATACCGGACGGATTCATCGTTGAATTTATAAAAGGATTTGCAAATTGGCCATTAAAATGAGTATAAAATGGTTGAAATAGAAACGGATTCCTTCCAAGAGATTGTTCTTTTTCTAATGCTGCTGCAGAAATTCGTTGTGCACTTATTGCAGCTTCTGCCGTAATGAATTCATTTATTATCTGAAAATATTCAGTAACACAGAAATTATTAATTACTCTTTTTTTTTTAAAGAAAAATTAATTTGTCAGGTCAATAATAAAATATGGTACTATATGAAATTATATTATAGAAGAATATGGTACTTTATCAATGCTATTGTTGAGAGTACTAATAAGTTCTTGTTTTAATGATTGCGCAAGTTTTGCAAAATCACGTTGCAATTGTTGTTGAACTTGTTGAATTTGAACCCGTTTATGTTCTTCTTCATTTGCACCAAGTATTTTTCTTTGTTGTTCAATCCATTGCGAATAAAATCTCCTTTGTGTTTCAAACATTTCTTGAAGCTTATTCTAAAAATATCCTAGAAAATTCGCAAAAACTTTTTGCTTTAATAAAATTTTATTTGTTCAGTTTTTTTCAATGGTTTTTTAAAAAATTATAGTTGATTTCTCAATTTAAAATCTAATTTTTAATAAAACTTAACACCGACCAATCTGAATTTTTTTTTAAAAAATTATAGTTGATTTCTCAATTTAAAATCTAATTTTTAATAAAACTTAACACCGACCAATCCTCTTAAAAAAAATTCATGTAAAATCCACAATTTATGAGGCAAGCCAAGGACATTGGTTTCATTAAAGGAAAGACCATAGAAAATTCGGATGATTCAAGAATATCAGAGGATTAGCTATATTTATTAATCGAGACCACAGTTTTTCGGTGGACCGAAGTTTGAATTGTTAATCTAAAGTGATAAAGAATAGTTATCAGTGAAAATAATGCGTGCCTGTTGATTATTCGTAATTAAATTCGTTGGTGCCTGCTGAATTTCGTCGTTTCCTTTTGTATTTTCAGATTGTTCAGTTGTAAATTCTTCATTTTCTAAAATATTCAATAATAATAAATAATAATAATAATAGTACTAATAATAATAATAGTGGATTATCAATATTTAAAAAATCTTCAAAAAATTTTTCAGTATATTATAAAGTTGCGAATTGAAAAAATTTCGAAACAATAGACAAACAAGGAATATTTCATTTCAATTCATTCTTTTGACTGATTTTTTCCTAATATTACTAAATGGTGTATTCCCTTGAGTAATTTACGAATTCTACATCATAGGAAAAAAAAAAATTATACCGTTATTTTCAAGTGTTTCATCATTATTTACAAAGCATTGCCGTTGCGGAAGTGCATTTTTTCTCCTTGAAGATGAAGAACTGCCCGCAATAAGCGTTGGGCTTCCTTCATCGCAACTCTCTTTCTCTTTGTCATCTTTGTTTAAATCCTATAAAAAAAAAAATGACACAATAGATTTAGGAATTCTATTAATTATGATAGATTATATTAAGTTACTTACCGTCTGAATTCAATTAAAATGGTTGAATTTTATTTATTTTTAAAAATTCTTTTAAAAAAATCAAAGCAAATTTTAATTAAACAATTAAAATAGTTAATTAAATTAAATGATAATCAGAATACAAAAATAAAGACCATTTCATTTGGATTCCTTTCGCTATCGAGTAATTCTTCTTCATCTTCTTCACATACCGATGATTTTCTAGACGTTTCTCTTTCCTATTATTACAATATTTTAACATTAATATTAATATACTTAATATATATATATATATATATACTTAATATAGTTATACTATTAATAAACTTATTAAATTTGAAAAATGAAAATTTAACGGTGAAATTTAATGATAAAACGGTGAATTTAATATTGGATATGCTAAACAGATAAGAAAAATTTCTACTTGTATAGTAGTATCATCATTATCAGTATTGTGTTGACTTAAATCATGTACAACATCACAATCTTTCATCGCTTCTCCTTCGTTACTATTTACATCTGTATTTTGAGTAGACTGAGTAATCCATGGGAAAATAGCGTTTAGTGCTGATGAGGCCGATGGTGTTGATGTTGTTTCACCGCTATTTAACAACTGAAAACCGTTTGCAAATCGTTGTTGCAACATTGGTAGGCGATTGCCCTAAAAAAAAAAAAAAATTCATTAGTCAAAGAAAAACAGATCGCTGATTACTTTAATTTGGATTATCAATGTTTTTTATCTATATTGAATAAAATTACTTATAAATATATCTTATATTCATATTTAATTTAGGAAAAATAGGATAAACGAACAACAGTAATGAATTAATTCGTACTATTTTCTCTATAAAATCACTATTTTTTTTTTGCACACCTGATAGGAATTTCTTGGTTCTCCAGCGTCGACGCGTTGACGCGACCGCTTAAGTTTAATACGATGCGGCAAAATTTGTGATGGAAGAGGTGAAATATGAGGAAAATATTGTAATGGCGCTAACTGATTAAATCGATTATTGAGTGATTGTGATAACGGCCCGCCTGATGACATTAACGGCTGAAACCGCCTAAAGAAATTTCAATTTTCAGGATAAATTGAAAAAAATTTTTATCATCGAAATGCATATTAAAAATTATGTAATGCAAAAAAAATTTATCTAGTCTATTTAATTTTTCTATAACATAATTGGTATAATTGAAAATATAAAGTAAAAAAAATTGATAAAAATAGAGAAAAAATGATAAAAAAGCAATTTTAAGCAAAAAGCAAATGATAAAAAAGCAAAGGAATATAGAAAATAAAAAATGATTAAGGTGATAATCCAATCATTTCATAAAACCATTCGCATAAGTTAGGTACCAAATACTGAGAAATGGATAATCCACGGATATCGCTTTTACTAAAATCATGCCAGCATAACTTCGACTCCTAATTTCTCTAATTTTCCACGAAATGTAAAATCCTAGCTAGCGCTATGAACGCATCTGCAATTCTATTGTCAAATGCTCAAATGAGCGATTTTTATTTCCATAATAACATGACAGTCAATCTTTCGAAATGGTAAGTGCTATTAGAGAAAGAAAAATTTAGAATTTATAAAATTAAGGCGAAATAGTTGAAGTAAAATATTTCAATAATTTGATATTAAAATATAGATTGGTGAAAATTAATTAATTTATTAATAAATTATAAATTATAATTATTAGCATCCAAACCAAATTTGCATTAGTAATTAAATGTTTTTTAAAATATTATTTATTTAAAATATAATATTATATAATAAAAAATATAATAAATATAATAAAAATATATTATATTTTTTGCATTTATGAAAAGACAAAAAGTAAAAAATATGGAAGAAATATTCAAATGAAGACGTATGAAAATTTCTTATTCATTCTTTTTTCGTAATTTTGCGATTACTTCTTATAAATTTTATAATTTCGAAGAAAACTATCGAAAATAAGTAGTAAGTATTTAATAATAAGTAATAATAGTAACAAGTATTTAACAAATTTTAATAAATTTAATAATAAAATTGGAAATAAGGAATTTTTTAAAATTACTATTTAGAAATGATTCACCAAAAATCAATTTTTGGTAAAAATGAGAAAACTGTAATAGTGCTCGATTTAGTTTATTAATAATAAAATATAATCCCCTCTGCAAAAAAAAAAAAAAAAAAAAATTCGTCGAAAATTATCGCTTAATTAATATTTTTTAAGAAAAAATTAATTTAAATAAGAAAAATTTTGAAAACTAAAATTTTTCAATTTTTCAATATTTCATTTTTTAATTTTATCTGTTTATTTATTTTATCTGAATTCTCCAATTTTTCATTTTGTTTAGGAAATTTTGTTTAATTTCAAATTAATTTGTTAATTTTAATTTATTAATTTTATTCTTATTAATTTTCTTATTATCAATATTTCTTTATAAGCTTTGTTTTTTAACCTTTTAAAATAATAAAAATTCATCCATTTTGAGAAATTTAAGAATTTCTATTAAACCAATATTGAATCTGAAATAAAAATTTTTCTCGAATTTATCAAATAGCAACAAATAATTCAATATTTTATGAAAATCTTCGTAAAATTTTATGGAAATATAAACTCTAAGTAGCTTAAAAATTCAGCACACACCTATTGGAATTAAATTTCTCACGACACTAATAAAGTAATTCTTGTGCAATACTTTTGATTATCTACTTCATTAACATATAGATGTCGTGCATAATAAGATTATTTATGATTGGTAATGATGAGACCAATATGAACAATTTTTCATAGGAAAAATTATAAAAAAAAAATTCGTCAAGAGATATTCAAATTGTTCCTTAAAAATTTTTCATAATTTCTCGTCCAAGAACATATTTATTTATTTTATTTAAAATATTTTTTTTATTTTTTATATTTTTTATATTTTATTTTTTATATTATATTTAAAAATTCGAAATTAGTTCATCCAATTCCTAAAATCAAAAAAAAACCTCATTCATTAAAGATTTTTTATTATTTCATCTAAGAATAATAAAATATCTACACTTGTTTGTTTTGAATTAATCTCTTAGCATAGCTAATAATAAAAATTTATAGTATATAAATAAATATATTACAGTACAGCAAATAAAAGGAATAAAAATAAAAAATATCTAATTTTAAATTGCTTTCTTATTTTTAAAAAAAAAATATCATGAAATAATAAATCAAATTTGATCAATAATTAGAGAAATTGTGTGTTTTTATTTTTAAAATTAAATCGAACCAGTTCTAAGGATCTATGGCGCCGGATCGAACAGTCTTAAAATATCTTATCCTTGTAACCAACTAAGCCACCCAAACCAGTAATAAAGAAATAGAAGAATGGTAATTATGAGAACCTTTAAAAGAAGAAGAAATAGCTATAAATTCTCATACCATCTTTATACCGTAAAAAATGAAGAAAAAGAAACAAATAAATAATATCCAAAATTTATCCAAAATTTTCTCTCAACACTTTTTTTATATAATCAATAATCGAGTAAAAGTAATATAAAAACTAGGTCATTATTTATTTTATTTTATAAAAAATGATAAAATAAAAAAATTTTATCTGAAAGAATTTAAATTTTTCTATAAAAAAATTAAATGACAAATAAAATTTCATTAAATTTTATATGAAAAACATACATTCAATTATCTTTTGGTTAAAAATAAATTGGGGCATAATTTTCGAATATTTTAGAAAATTTTTACTAAATTAAAATTTTTTTTACTTTAATATTATTTTAACAAAATTAAATTAAATTAGGTTGAAAATAAATCGCAGAAAAGATAATTTCATAAGCAACTTAATTTTTTTATTATTTTTTTATTGAAAAAAATTAAATAGTGTTTTATTGATGGGAATTTATTTAATTAATATTGAAAAACAATTGAAATACTTTAAATAGAAATTGTGATAACAGATTGCGATAAAATCGCATTTTAAAGAATTATGTCTAAGGTATAATTAATAATTAATATGAATAATGAGGCGATTATAAAAGAATCAAGAAGCGTGTCAAGAAATTTGAGAATTTTTCTCTTAACTAAATCTAATTTTATTATTGATAATAATGATAAAAATATTTTATGGAATAAAAAAAATTTAATTTGAAGGAACTATGAGCAATAGGATAACTATGAGCATCGTATATGAGAATGACAAATAAAAGATTTGAAAAGGACCGCTCCTCCCTTGGATCGTCATTATGATCAGAGACACCTATACGATAGAAAAGAAAAAAGAGAAGTCAAATGAAAAATCTTTACGCTCCACCCTTTTTATCAACAAAAAAGTTCTTTTCCTTTCATTTTATCAAGCACATATCCTTTTTTTCCGTTAAATTTCATTTTTATCTTTATTTGATGAAAAAAAAACGTTATCAAAAATAATAATACAAATTAGGAAGAAAGCTAGAAATTGAGAAAAAATTTTTATACTATACCACAATTAGTGTATCCTTGACTGTCATCTTGAAATTTAGAACAAAATATATTCTTGCTGTTCAATAAAGCAATATACTTCAGTTATTTATTGGTAAGATTTTGTCAGTTTTGAGTTCAATCATATTTGATCTTTAAGAAATTTTTTTACGAATTTTATTGTCTTCTCGTTTTATTGTCTCGTTGTTTTCTATTAAATTATCAATGGATTGTGAGAATTATAGTATAGTTCAAATTTTTTCCTTTATCATTAGTATATACTTTGTAATTTTAATTTTTTCTTTGATTATAAGTTTGTATCTAAGAGTGAATGTATTAATAAAAAACAAATAAATTAATTAATAAATTAACACTTAGAATATCAGTAAATAATAATAAATAATATATGATAAATGATATAAAACCGTTTAAAAATTCGAATGGTTCATTTGTAGTTCTATCCACTTCCTGGCAAAATTTATCGGCTTCAACAAGCTAGTGGAGTTAATTTATCCAGAAATGATAAGCGTTCTTAGAAAAAAAACGTAAATGATAAATGTTTTCACTAAAAGAAAATTATTTTCTTTTCAAGAAAAAAAAATTTTTTAGTAGATTTTAGAATTTTTTAGCAGATTTCTTTTAGATATTTAATGATCAAATTTTTTAAATTTCTGATCATGAATTATTAGAATATAAAAGAAAGCAAATCATCGATAGCTGTGCAAATATTCTTCAAAAATTTTTTTCGATCGATAAATTTTTCAGAAATATTAACTAATAAATTTAAAGAAGTAATCGTTTTTAAATTAGTAAATAAAAAATATTTTTCCATCAAGTAGAATTATTTATAATGATAATGAAATAATAAAATTTCTGAAATAATAAAATAATAAAATTAAATAATAAAATTAATAAAGGTGACAATTTTCAACTGTAGAAGAGAAGATAAAAAATTTGACAATGAATGAGCCAAACGAACGAGTCACAAAATTCTTAAAATTCGGTAAGGCGGAGCATAAGAAAAATAACCAATCAAATGTGAAGATTTTTAAGGTGTCCTTAAGAGATAGAGATGCAATTATTAAGGAAACGGTAGTCGGGTGCCCTCCCGACGAATTCCACAAGAAAACTTTTCAACAAAATAGATGAAATACTCGGTTAATTTAAGCTATTAATAAAATTAAAATAAACAAAAGAAAAATAATGGTTATTCATGAAATATAAATCCAATCGTGAGGTATGAAAAATTCTATAAAATTTAAAAATATTTCAATATTTCTTTTAAATTTCGCTTATAATAAAATTAATCATAATTAATTTACAATTTATAATTAAAGTTCAGTATAACTTCCACCATATATTTACAAAGCATTGCATATCGTTTTTCCATAATTATTTCATAAATAAATAAATGGTTCCTATAGATTTTTAATTGTTTAATTAAGTCTATTTTCTTAATTAAATAATAAAAACGAATTTTATATTCTAAATTTTATTGTTTTTTCTCGGGTTTTTAGTGGAAATTATAAGATTTTATTATAAATATTTTTGTAAAATAAAATTATTTACAAAAATCTATAGGAACCATTTCATTTGCAAAGATTT